GCCTTGTTCTGGGCTTACATTACCTCCTGTTTGAATGTCTTAGGTCCAAAGTAGATTGTTGACTTTGGAGAAGTCTTGTAGCTTTTGTGTTTTCTCAGGTCTTCTAGCTGTGCCATTTATGTGCACACTATGTCTTCCCACCCATCCACTAAATGCAAGCATTTTCAGACTAGTAACACACCTTTGTTTATTCAGTTTTTGTATCTCATAGGAGCACAGTAAACATTAAGTGAGGAAGAGAAGGTTGGAAGGAAGACTGAAGAGGTGGCAGACTTAGAGCCACCTGTTTCCTCTACACTCTTCCAGTACTAATGAATGTCTCTTCTCTCCTTTCTCCCCTTCCTAAGTATTAGCAAGGCAAGATCTGCCGACTACTTTTTCCAGACAAATTTGCATTCTCTTAGTTTTGTCTCTACCTAAGTGATCAGATACATGCAGCATTAAAGACATCCCCACAAAAATGTGCTAGGACCTGTAGGCCTAGGCCTCTGACTATCCTTATATTCTCATCTCCTCCAGTTTGCCTCCCTATTATGTCCTAATCTATACCCTAACCTCCTTAAAACATAACTTTCACCCTGTTATTTCCCTGCACTAGAGGCTTGATGTAGCTCCTCATTTCCTATCAAGTCCTGCCCAAGATCCTCAATAGTCCCGCATTCAAGCCTAAACAAGCTAATGCAACAGCCAAGTTGAACTATATTTAGATGTTCCTTCCCTATTTTATACAGTCAACCTTATCTTTGATTATTCCTGATACTACTTGCCTCTCTATCTCTATGAGTCCAACTTCCTATCATTCTTTAAGATAAGCTAAAAAATTACCTTTGCCAGGATATTACCTAAATATTACCTAAACTTATCCCTAACGCTGTCCTCTCACTAAACTATCCACTGGTTCCTGCTCCCAGACAGAAAATCCTCTCCTGTTCTACTGATTCCCCAAAGCCTTTTCTCTTTTGTGAAATCACTTATGCTTTCTATTGCAATTATTATTATTATTATTATTATTATTATTATTTTACATGCCAAACTTTTCTAAAAATACTTTAAGCACTTTAAGGATAAGAGTTGAAGTTGTGCTTATCTTTACATTCTTTATGGCGTGTCATAATAAGTTTAAACTTTATGGCAAGATTCCGCTAATAATGAACTCTGTAATCTTGAGCAAGTCAGTTGGCCTATTTGAATCAATTTGTTCACAAATCAAAAACATGTTCTAATTCAAGAGTCTTAATTTGAGATGTTTTAAATTACATATTCCAGAGACTACACAAGAAGACTTGAAAGCACATACCAAAAATAAAGATTTCAGCATAACCTCTGCAAAACCCAAATTTCTGGCTGTTTTAGCTATTTCCACTGATAAATACCTGCAATCATATTTCTCTGACTTATGTGAAGCAATATAAAGTGGATGATTATACCCTTTCTGGCTATCATCGGTTCATTAAGTATCAGTATTATAATTCACTCTTCAACTTTTATTTAGTGTAGCATTGTTTTTGTGTGTTTGGAGGGAATCATTCATTCTATCATTTATTCCAAGAATATTTTGAGTATATACTAACACTTATCCAGGTGATAAATTCTAGCTAACAAATAGAAGATGAGAGAGGAAGAAAGGAAGGAGTAACTAAGGAAGATTTTTCCTATTTTAACTATTCTAAACCATTTTTTCCCTCTTATTAGTAGTTCATAAAGCTTTTACACCACCTTTGTCATGTTAAGAGTCAAAGTAAATGCTCCCATACTTAATGTTTTGTAAAAACAAAAGAAAAACGCCATTTTTTTTTTTTAGCCACTTGCCCAGATAATATAGCGGAGAGAGTGCAAAGTACTTCCACTCAATCCTTCTAAAGATAATACCACTGGAAACATTTTGGTGGGTGTGAATCACTCAGACAAGCATTCTTCACTCAAAAATAGAAACTTGCCTTATTTGTTCCAGATGTTATACAGCTGCAGGGAAGTTAAAGCCAGTGGTCCTGTTTTCAATGCAACCAAACTCTTATTGCATTTGGAATTTCTTAACCAATGAACTCATATTACTTGTTCTAAGACCTGCACAATTTTCATTTTTCCACTGTTACCATTCACAAACAACTGTGTTTCATGGGAACCATACTTCAGAATTAATGAGTCTACATCTGTGCTGTACAAGGAAACACATCTTGTTTATCACTATTTCCACCTTTCATTTATATTGACTTCTTTAATTTTAAGCATAAAATATTTCAAATGTTATATAAAAGGGAAGGAAAGGTAAGTTTATTGTTCTTACTGTAGCTTATGGCACTTAAGCTGTGGACTTACAAGAAGGTGTTCATTTTAGGAGAATTTCAAGAAATACTGTGAAGAAATTATTGAGTATAAACATGTAATTGTTATCATTGTGTATTTATTGTTGAAAACACTTGCCAGCTTAGCTCATGTTTTGGTTTTCTCTGCAGACTGGTAATAAAGAATGCAGAATGTAGACTGGAAATATAGAAGGGTCATGCCCCTCTGAAAAGGGAGAAAATTTAACTTATGTAGGAGATGTACATACTAACATATATAATCCATAAAAAAGGAAATATATGTATTATATTTTGTTTGATAGCAAATCTTTGAGAACATGTGTTTGAGGACACAGTGCCAGATTTCTTGAGATTACTGCTTTTATATGAGAGATTTTTTTTCAAAGTGTGGCTCATGGGTAATCTGTTGCAGAATCACAGATTACTTATTATGTAGTTCTGGGTCCAGCTGAACCAGAATCACTTCAGACTGGCCCAGAGGCCTCAAAGATCAAGCAACAGCAAGAGCAAAGTTCTCATCTTTCAGTTGTGAACATTAATGCCCAGGGAGTTTAAGTGACTTGCTCAAGGTCATGTAGCTAGTTAATAATAAAGAAAGGTTTAGAATTTTTATTATTGAAGTGGAGACCAACATTCATTTCTAGGAAGTTGGCTATTTAATTTTTATTTTCAAAAAAACGTAAAATTTAAAATAAAACATAAAGAACGTCATTAATATGGCTTATCCAGTAATTTATTATTTATCACTTTACTTATAACATAACATAATAAAATCTTGTTCTCCAAGATGTTTAAATAGTATTCCTTCTGAAGCATGTTTAAGAACTTTAAATTTGATAATGATGCATCAAAGACTATAAAGCTATATAAAATTCATGATATACATTCTTTAAGTGTGTATATGCTATTTGTTAAAATAGTTTTAAGGTGTTGTTGTTCAAAACTGATTAAAAAATTTGTTTCCCACATCTTAATGAAGCTATTGATTTTTTATATCTCTACTTAAATATCTCTACTTCAGTATTTTAAAAGGAAAAGACCTATGAATGCTACTGATTAAGTATTCTGTACTTTGCCTCAACTGATAACATTGTGCACTTGATCTTAGCCAAAAGCCTGAGAAGTGATCAACTGATAACACTTTGACATCCATTTTTGTTAAATAAAGAGGTACCACTAGAGAGAAACTGTATTTATAATTTTTTCTGGTATTCATTGTTTCATAATATAGCCCTGATGCTTTTCTGGTGCTGTACCTCATCGTACTAAAAAAAAATAATAAATAAAAAAAAAATCCTGAGGTAAAAAAAATCAGTGCTTTTTGGAAGGGGATAGCATTTGTGTCAGACACTGCTAGTTGTCTACACAAATATCTCCTCTCTCTCGATTAGAACTTCTGCCTTCAGTTGGGTGCATAGCCTCCTGAATAAAGATGACAGTTTGCAGACTTCTGTGTAGCCAGATATGGCAATGTGACTAAGTTCTTGCAATCTAATGCAAGCAAATATAAGTGTAGGAATTTTTTGGAAAGTTCCTTCAAGGCAGCAGGGGCAAAGCATCAGCTTTTGTATTATTACCTGAAAATGTTTACCCTCAATATTGTTCACTACTCCAAAAGGATTAATGATATAGGTCATATGTTTATATTAGTGAAGGAGGCATGTCAGTGAGGACTATTCTGTTAAGACCCTCCAGCATTCTTTTGCCATGTAGTTGTTCTTGTTAGAGATCCTGCTAGAGGATGAGGGCTGACCAGACCTGAAAGATCTTGAAGCTGCCATTTCAACTTTGGGCTGACATTAGAATTGCAAATGGGAGAGAAAGAAGCTTCTATTCTGCTTATATAATTGTCTAGGAGTTCCTTATATTTCAGTTAAAGAGCTACATCTGAAATCAGACAATAATATATTTTTTGCAATAAAATTTCATTTATTCACTAAGCACTTTGTGTGTGGAAATGAAAGTCTTCAAAAATTGTTTATTTTATTTTTTTAAAGATTTTATTTATTTATGCATACAGAAATGGGGTACAGGCCAGAAATGCAGGGGTGGTAAGAGGATTGACCAGTGCAAGTGGGGAGCAAAACAGGCAGATGGATGAAGTACACTGCTGAAGGGAGCATCAGGCAGGTCAGAAGAGGTCTGCCGTGCCATGTGGGTCACCTCAGGGGCGGGGATTGAACTCATGGTGAGGTGGCTTTAGCTTCTTAGAGCTGTGCTTTAACTCATGGTGCCACGAGGGAGGGCCCTGGGCCTCTTTTTTTTTTTTTTAACAAGCCATCCCTTTCAGGAGCAACTCTTTCTGCCCACTTGTGTCTATGCAAATGCCCTTTATTCTCTCCCTTCTAATAAACTTGCCTTTTTGGATTAAGACAAAAACAAAAACAAGAATCTATCCCCCTAACAGAGCACTGCCCACCTGGTGTAATTTTTCTGCTAAGCATGGAGGAAGTGTTCCCACTTGGTCGCTCTCTTAAAATCCAACTCTCCCTTATTGACATTTGATCATTTATTAAGTTTTGGAGTTTTTTTTTTTTTTTTTTTTTTTTTTTTAAGAACAGTACATGCTCTAAGTTTCAACAGTCTTTCATTTTTAAATTAAAAAAAATTAAGAGTGTCAAATACTTGATAGATTTTTGAATACTAGTAGAAATACAATAAAATTTGAAGAGAAGTTAAGTGGAAAGGCAGGCTTACCTTTGGGTCCACATTGAGAATTTTTCTATCTCTTTTGTATTTGAAAAGTAAGCCTTCTGGGTTATCAGCAATCACTTGATAATTGGGAGTTGAATTCCAAATGGCAATCTGACTGTCCCAGTTGTAAAAGCTACACAAATACATATTAAAAAATTAATATGTATTATGAATTAAACTGACAAATACATTTCAGAAAATATTTGGAGCAGTTCCTTCTTAAGATAAATTGATAGAATCGCAGTCTACAACATTATAGGACACCTATGATTAACATTCATGCAGTAGAGATGAGACTAAGTTATTCTCAAATTATGTCGACATATACTTTTGACTAATTTGAATGACTTCCTGGTTTGAACACTCTAGGATCTCAGACCTGTTCTAGTTTTATATTCCCAGAAAGTCAAGAAGAAAATTGATGCAATTTAGGCCTATTCCTTCCAGCTCAGACTCTTCAGGGTATTAAGAGTACTCAGGGTATTAAGAAACTGTTTACAGGAAGGAAAGGCAGACCAAGTCACGCCTTTTCATTCAAAACGAATTCATTTCTTTCAGGCTCTGGGGAGTAGGGAAACTATTTGTGTTTGAAAGGTTACCATAGACTGCACTTGATGAAATGTATTCTGTCATATCAACCATATAAATTACTCTCATTTCAGAAAAGGCAAGGAAACTAGGGGAGGTCAACTAGCATGGCTATAGCTCTTCAACTGGTATGTCATAGGATTAAAATTTCAACCCAAATCTGTGTGTTACAAACAAATAGGTGCTTTTTCCTTCTATGGTTCCACATGATCTGCACTTTATTTTTTAATTGATATTCTATGAACATTTACTTATTTTCTTATGTTTTGCTTTATACTCACTTTTCAAAAAACAAATACTGCCATGTAAGTTGGAAGAATCCTTAATGTACTTACTTTTACATATTCTATTTTAATTTCTATTATAATGTTTGGTTTTAAAATGAGAGTCATAGAGATAATTCATATGTAGCTTTGGGCCCAATATGCTGCTTACATACAATTTTATTTTTAATCAATTTGCATTTATCCTATTTCTGGGCTGATTTGCCTGCTATTACACTCCTTTCATTTTGAAAGAGTAGATTGTACTGACTAAACTCACTCTGAATTTATATTTTTCCTGAGGCATCTACTTTTGTATTACTACCTGAAAATATTTACCCTAAAATTTTTCACTATGCCAAAAGGATTAATGACATAGGTCATATGTTTATATTATCAAAGGAGGCATGTCAATGAGAACTATTATCTCACTTCTTTTACTACTCTTTCTATGGCCAAGACATAGGCATGCCTATCTTTTATGAATTAGTCTTCACCAAGAGAGCAAGAATGACTTTTGATTGGTAAACTGAGGGAAGGAGCTAAGTGTTATGACTTCCCAGATCTTCACTTAACTGGCCTTTATAAAAGGACTGTATCATGGTAGTCTCAGCCCTAATGGGGTCATGGTATGGGAATTCAATTCAGTGGTGAAGATATTAGGGGCCAACATGTGTATGCAGCCAACCTAATTTTCCAAATCCACTTAATCCAAAATAAAGTAATTTGACCTCCATTTCCCCAGCTATTTAGTTAGGAGATTGATTGGAATGATGGGTAAGGATGTGATTCTCAACATGAGTGCTATGTTTTTCTAATTATTTAGGAGATATCGAGCTATGACTATGTGGTAAGCTGCTTGAGTTATCATAGTTATGTGCAGAGTGGCACTGTTTATATATATTTAGTGTTTCTCAGAACTCAAGTGAAGTTTAGATTAACTGTTTATATACTGATGAAAGAACAATGGGAAGGACTTCATTTACCTGCCAATTTTAATAGTTAATACTAATTGGTATATAATAAAAATAAGTAACATTTGACCCTAAGGAAACTATTATCTCATTTAATTTTATTAATCTCATTTAATATTATCACAAAACACATGAAGTAGGTATAAAGTGTATAGGAAAAAAGTAAAGAAAGCAAGACCCCAAAGAAATAGGAGGTATAAAAAAACTTTGAGTTGTATCTAGTATGCAACTGTGCTACACTATTACTTTATCAATGCAGACTAATTCCATTTAAGAGTTCTATGTGTTATTTATTACTATCATTATTATAAAGATGAGGGAAATAAAACTAAGAGAAAATATATATGTATATATGTGTGTATATACATATATGTGTGTGTATATATGTGTGTGTATATACATATATGTGTGTGTATATATATAATGTACTAGAATATTGTATCAAACCCAGCCAAATTCAAATCAAGTCCTCTTAAGGAACAGTTTGTTGGAATCCAGAAAACTGGCATCAGTGTGAAGATGCTGGACTTACTTCCTCTATATCTACAACCGAATTATACCTAAATAATGTCAGAGGTCCTGAATGATAAGTGGATGACTATTTTATGTGTCAAGAACAAAGGTATAGTAAAAAGGGGTAGGAAAAAAACTATACTAAACTGCGTTCACAATGATACTCATCAGTGAAACCCACAAGAAAGAGGAACAGCTGCTATACAGTTTCTCTACTAGAGTTAATTCAGGGGCACCCGCACACCTTGTCAACTTTAAAAACCAGTTCTATGCAAAAGAAAAGAGTGGGTCCTGAGAGTCAGCATGGAGGACAGAAGGTGCACCTGGATGAGTGTGTCCCAGGACAGAATCACACCAGCAGAGAATAGTAGGATTAAGGATGCAGGCTGTGGCTGCTGACTTGAGCCTGAGGCTCCCAAGGGAGAAAAGTTGGAGACACAACTGATGGAAGAGTCAGTTAAGACCATGTGAATCTCCTTACAGAAGAGAACACCATTTGCAGCCTGTGACTATGACTCATGAAACACCTACCTTACCCTTACCAAAAGTCAAAGCCAAGATAACAGTCACATACTGTGGCTAAACAGAGTTAAATTAAAGCACTCTGATCCTAACAGTAGTGACAAGTGTCCCAAGGTAATGCTCCAAGCTGAAAAAACAAAGGAAACAATTCCCAGCAAGGGAGCCTGTCTCTCAACTATAATTCCTATTTGTTGTTACATCTATTGCTCAGTCAGAGATTCCATTTGGCAAGAAGTTGAGTCCTTCTGGATGAGGAATTGGCCTGGGGAGGTCACTGTGAATCATCTTTATTAGTTTCTAGGTGTTTTTCTTTTATATTTCTGCTTTAATTATCCCCTTAATCTATTAGCTAATATAAAACATACTTCTAGTTTCTATGTATATATGTTTTACACATTTATAGGAAGAAGCAGGTAAGAGTAGATTTGTCTGACAGTGCTGTGATGAACACGTCAGTATTATCTATGATGGCCAACAGTTCCAAACCATGTCTCCATTTTCCCCTAGGCAATGATACTGTGCTGGAAACATCACATCTCTAAGATTAAAATGACAGACACTAGACATTTATTGACAATCATTAGGTAGTATATACAAAGGTTGATTTATAATGCTATATACCTGAAACACATATGATGTTATGAGTCCCTGCTACTTCAAAAAGAGAACACTAGAAAGTGCATGACACAGAGAAGTTTTAAAATATATTACTTAAAATTATAACAGTAACTTAAGAGCAATATACAAATATCAAATACTTGGAAACAAGGAATAAAGATATTCTGAATTCTCATCTGTTATAACTGAGTTTCAACAGATATTCATCTGAAGCTGAAGTCAGGAATCAGAAGCTTAATTTCTAGACTTACAAAGATTAACCTAGAAATAAGTAGGAGGAGAAAAACAACTAAATTTGCCTCTTAGAAGTAGGATAGATAGGAAGGGAGGGGCATGATTTTTGTAATTTTCCCTAGCATTTCTGTACTATAACATTTGTTTATATATGACCCAAACCTTTGATTTAAAAAAAAAATATTGGGTTAAAATATATGAATTACAGATGCTTCTAAACTTTATGTGTATTCTTAAATTAATTGTTTCCATAAGACATTATATTCCTACTTAAAAAAGTAGAAACCAATCTTCTGCGGAGCCCCCTCAGAAAAGCTGGGGCTCTGAATGCACAAGCCAACCCTTTTATTCCCCCTGGGGAAGCTGAGAGCTAAGGACTTTCTTTTTTATTGTATTCTCTTGGGGAGGGGCTCCGGTAAGTGTGTGTCCCTCACTTCTCAGTTGCCTTTGATGGAGTTCCTTCTTTCCTCCCTCTCTCCCTCCCTCCCTCCCTCCCTCCCCTTCCTTCCTCCCCTTCCTTCCTCCC